AGAAATATTAAAAAAAAAAACTCAGAAAATACATTAGGCAAGGATCACTAAAGATAAATGAGTCTTTTACTCAAATCCACAATAAGGATTACAAAAAAGATGCGTGCCATTTCTGTCGCAAACTTGGGCATCATAAAAGGAACTACCTGATGGTTCGAAAGTAAAGGTAAGCTTATTTTTTATGTATGTTTCGAATCTAATTGGGCAGAAGTTCCTTATAATGCTTGTTGAATTGATTCCGGATGTACTACTCATATTACCAATACAATGTAGTGATTCTATTCAATTCAAAGTTTAAATCCAAATAAAGAGCTTGCCTCATGGGCAATCAAGTCATAGTTTCAGTTGAAGCCATTAGAACCTATCATTTGATTTTGAATACTGGGTATCATTTAAATTTATTTCAAACTCTTTATGTACCTTCTATATCTCAATTTAGTTTCCTCATCAAAACTTGTTTCTGTTGGATATTCCTGTAATAGTGGAAATCGATGTTTAAGTTTGTTTAAACAAAATCATCTTATCTGATGATGGCTTATATGAATTAAAGCTCAGTAACCTCTTTGTCGAGACTCTTTTAACCTTGGATCATAATGTTGGTACTAAAAATAGTTTTATTGAATAACGATCTGCTAATGTATATCATAAACATTTGGGCTACATATTCAAGGAAATGACAGAAAGATTAGTAAAGATTGAAATCCTCCCTGACTTGAATTTTAGTGATCTTGGAGCTTCTTTGGATTGTATTAAGGGTAAACAAATCAAACATACAAAGAAAAAAGCCACAAGAAGCACATAATTTCTTAAGATAAGGCACAATAATATTTGTGGGCCTTTTGATGTTCCATTCTTTGGTGAAGAAAAGTATTTTATCACTTTTATTAAACTTTTCATGTTATGATTTTGTCTATTTGCTGGATGAAAAATATTTAAGCTATAAATGCTTTAGAGATCTTTGTCAATGAAGTTGAACAGCAATTAGAAAGAAAGGTAAAAATTATTAGATTTAATAGAGTTGGTGAATACTGTGAAATGTATGATGAAATTGGAGAACACTCTGGTCCATTTGCTCAATTTCTTGAAAGACATAGCATCTGTTCTTAATATATTATGTCAGGCACATTAAAATAGAAATGTGTAATGGAAAGGCGTAATCGGACTTTAATAGAAATGGTTGATGTTATGCAATTCTTCTTTACTTATTTCTTTATGGATGTATGAATTAAAGACCGTATGTATTTGTAAAACAGGGTTTCTAGTAAGACAGTTTCAAAGATTCATTTTAAACTTTGGACTAGAACGAAATCCAGTTTAAGAAACCAACATGTTTAGGGTTGCCCGGCAGAAGCAAGAGTTTATGATCCACACGAAAAAATTGGATTCAAGAACATTGAGTAGATTTTTTATTGGTTATCTAGAAAAATTAAAGAGGTATAGATTTTATTGTCCTAACCACAGTACTAGAATTGTTGAAACTAGAAATTAGGTTCACTGAGAATGCGCAAAGTTAGTAAGAGTTTAGAACCATAAAATGTGGAAATACTAGAAGTTAAAGTTAAAGTTTCTCTAACTTCAACTTCTTCTAATGTTGTTGTTCTCCAAATTGTTGACCACTATCACGATTTGCCATAACAACAAATAAAAGATCAAACACTTCACACTAAAGTTGCTACTATTGAACCTACACTAAATGAACAACAAGAAATAGCATTAAGAAGGTTACAAAGACAACATAGACCTGGTATTTTTGATGATTATGTGGTTCACTTACAAGAGTCTGAATTTGACTTAGAAATTGCTGATGACGATCCAGTTTCATTTTCACCTGCCATTGAAAGTGCTAATTCTGATAAGTGGTTACATGCTAAGAAAGATTAGTTGAAATTTATGAAGTTTAATGAAGTCTGAGATCTCGTCGAATTACCTGAATTGTGTAAAATAGTTGAATGTAAATGGGTCTTTAAGACCAAGACGTAACTCTAATGGTAATATTGAACGATATAGAGCTTGACTCGTTGCCAAATGTTTTACTAAAAAAATACGACATTGATTATAATGAGACCTTTTCGTCAGTTTCCAATAAAGATTCACTCAAAATTATAATGGCTTTAGTTGCTCATTATGACTTAGAGCTACGTCAAACAGATGTGAAAACCACATTTCTAAATGGAAATTTCGTTGAAGAAATTTATATGGATCAACTTGAAGGTTTTACAGTTGAAGGAAAGGAACATATGGCGTATAAGTTAAAGAAATCAATGTGCGGACTTAAACATGCTTTTGGTCAATGGTATATATATATAAAGGTTAGTAAAAACAAATTTATATCCTTAATTGTATGTTGATGACATCTTGTTAACTACTGATGATATTAGTTTATTATACGAGACTAAGAGTTTTCTCTGTAAAAACTTTGAAATGAAATATATGGGAGAGGCAACTTATTTGATTGGAATTGAAATGTTTTGAGATATGTCATAAGAATTGTTGAGATTATCTTAGAGAGCATATATCAATAAAGTTTTAAAGAGATTTAAGATGAAAAAATGTTCAACGAGCGTCGTTCCAATTCATAAATGAGATAATTTAGTCTCATGTAATGTCCTAAGAATGAATTGGAACGCAAACGAATGGTAGCTATTCCCTATGCATCTCTTGTTGGGAGCTTAATGTATACTCAGACTTGCACTAGGCCACACATCTATTTTGTTGTCGAAATGCTAGGCAGGTATCAAAGTAACACAGGACTAGATCATTGGAAAGCTATAGAGATAGTATTAGATACTTATAGGGAACGAAAGACCACATGCTCACTTATAGGAGATCTGATAACTTGAAGGTGATTTGGTATTCAGATTTAGACTTCACTAGATGTATAGACACTAAAAAGTCCATATTTGGCTATCTGTTCCTCTTGGTTGGAGGGGCTATATCATGAAAAAAATGTGAAGCGTCATTATATCCACTATAGAAGCTGAGATTATGACATGTTTTGAGGCCATAGTCCAAGAAAATTGGCTGTAGAACTTTATTTCAGGGTTTGAGCAATATTGTCAAGCCATCGAAACTTTAGTGTGACAATTTTACAATAGTCTTCTTTTCAAAGAACAACAAGTACTCTAAATTTGCTAGACAATGGAATTAAATATTTTGTCGTTAAAGAATAAGTTCAAAATAAAAAGTTTGAATCAAGCATATCAGCATCAATCTTATAATTACAGATTCACTAATAAAATGCTTGCCACCAAAGATATTTAACGAACATTTGGAAAGAATGAGCATTGTTGAAAATAATCATTAACGTTATGTAATTTATGTATTCAATACTTTGAGCTCGTTTATATATTATTTTTAAAAAATATTTGTTTTGTCTTAATTATTAGTATATGTACATGAATAGATTATCTAAATGTTGACAAGGATAGTTTTTTCGAAGATATTATTGAAATGCAATTATTGAACTTCTTCTTACATATCATGTTAAGTGATGATAATATCTTAGTACATGGAAGGAATTACTCCAAAATGATGCTCTAAAATCGCTATGACTCTTATTTATCTTTATTTAAAAATGATATATTAAGTGATCAATATACAAGGATTTTTAACTTATGACATGCCTTTTAGTTTATAGACCATGTAACAAAACGATATTACAGGGGCCAAATAGGAGAATGTAAGACCAGTTAATATGGTCCAGATAATATTATTAAAGAATCAATTGAATTGGTTTACATGCTAAAATTTAATTGATCTATTGAGAAGTGGCACTTTCATAACTTTCCATTTTGATAGAAAGTAAATAGTTTTTTAAGTTTCATGAGAATCTGTCTCTTTTTACCTATAAGCGTGAATGAAATATCTCAAATTAATTAAGTTCAATTACAAAGAAGAAAAGAGAGAATTGTTTCTTGGTTTTCTCGTTTATCTTATTTTGTTTGTCTAAAGTTTTCAATTAAATTGTTACGGATCAAAGTATGTTTATTGATCAATGATTTATATGTGAAAATCATAGAAATTTAAAATTTTGGTATTATGCTTAGCCCTCGTTTGGCCTCCATTAATTTTGATTATAATGGGGGAATAATATTTTTTTTAAATGGATGGTTATAAAAGAATTAAAATTTTCGATTTACATGTAATATTATTTTATTGAAGATTGTGTGGTTGAAAATAGAAGAGGAAAAAATTTAATTTAATTTGATGAGATTTAATGGACGCTAAAAGAGGGCTTAATTGCTTACAAATGAATCATACTAATTTAAGGAGGATGATACACATGAATATTTTTAGTGTGGAAATTATATCAATCGTTATATTTCTATAAAAACAATTTTAAAAAAAGGTAAATAAATGAATAATCTTCTACTTCATAAGCCACATCAATAAATAGCTATAGCTATTTTCATGACGGCCTCCGGCAACTATTGTCACCTTCCCCATCCATTTCTTCCCCTTGTTTCACGAGAAACAAGGGGAAAACACCTCTTTCGTGCTCGGTAAAATGAGATTAAGGATTGGGTTCCTCTAGTTTTGTGGAAATAATTTTTAGAGATTATAAAGATTATTGAGAATTATTCCACGTACATGAACAAATTGAAAATACATGATCTAGTGATCGAAATGTGGGTCTTTTTTTTTTTTTTTTTAATTGAGTTTTGGAAAGGACCTATCTACACCAAGATTGAAGGTTTGAAGAATCTAAATTGAAAATAAATTTATTGAGGACTCAATTGATATTGTAGTGAATATAGAGGGACTCAAGTGCTATTATTGTGAATTTATAGGGACTCTAGTTGCATATCTGCCTTTTTATGTTTTACAGTTGAAACTTCACGTTTAATTGACAATATTTTTTTTTTATAGAAAATTTATTTTTTATCCAAATTCCTATTTTTGAGATATTTGACTGACTTTTTATTATGGAAAATATTTGACTGACTGACTAGCGGAAGTCAAATTTTATTTTGTAGGTAATTCAAACTTTCCAAAATTCTAATTGATCAACTCTTCTATTTCCTTTCGGTACCTTCTCTCTCTCATCGCTACCCGTGTACAAAATCATTGCCATCTCTCATTAACTCACACAGCGGAACCAGTGGGAAGAAACCAAACACCCAAACGAATCACCGCTTCCATATTCTCCTCCAGGTTATTCACTTCAAACTTATCGATTAAGGTTTGTTTAACAATCAAACCAACTTGTTTAATTTGATCATGTTTATACTTCATGGTTAGATTGAGTACATATGATACTTCTTTAATCACTGTTGCTGTTTCTCATTGTTTAACAATTGGTTGTTCTTTTAATGGGTACCTCATTATTTCAATTCGTAGATTCCAATTTTTTTGTGAAGTGGTGACATTTGAAGGTGGGAATTCACTGATTTGAGACTTGAGCGATTCGACATATTACTCATGGGGTTTTTTTTCGGTTAATAGTTACTGTTTTGATTGGTGGGAATTTACTGATTTGAGTCCCCCTTTCGAGAATCTTAAAATTGAGAGGTGCGGGTGTGTTGGACATACAGAGAATCCTGAAATTGATTTTGCAAATTAGGTAAATATACTTATTTGTATCCATTAGTATTAATTTTGCTCGAATTTTCGATTTTCTGGGGGAAAATTATGTTTATCAGATCCTTCTTCTCCTCCTTTTTTTTGGAGGTTCTATAAAGAATTACTCAGGGTTAGAACCATGCTTTTTTGCTTTGACCAATTTTTTTGAAAAATTATCATTATCCAATTAGATGATTTTTATAATGGTTTGTTATGTTATTTTTGTGTGTAAATTTAATTTCTAAGTGATTATTAAATTTTTTCCCCCCTGATCAAGGGGATTTATTATGTCGTTTTTGTTTTACCTTTGAAGGTTCTCCTTGTGTGTGATTTTTGAAGTGGGTTTCCTTCAAAATATATTTTCTTTGTATTTGATTTTAATGTTACACTTTCTTACAGGTTATAAAAATGTTGTTATCAAGGAAAACTATCCTTAGAAAAGCTCACAAGAAGTGTGCACGACCGTGAGTTAATTATCTCGTGTTTTACTCTGTTTTTGGTCCCTGCCTTTTACATGCGCTGTTTTTGAGCCTATTTTAGTCTGACATAAGTTCGTTATACCAGGTATTTGAGAAGAAATTTTGGGCTTCTTATATGGCACACGGGTTGTGCAATGAGCGCACATGCCTATCTTCAAAATATGCATACTCTACAGGTAAATTTTCAAACCCAATGTTTAATTTTGACACGATTAATGAGATGAGATGGTTACCAAGAGACTCCATATACTTTATGATGTGATGCTCCTATAGAAAATTGTTACTTTGTCGTGGCCAACACCTCACATTTTGCCATCCCTAGATTGTATTTTAAGTCTATTTGTCTGATGCAGAAATTTGAAGAGTTGGATGAGTTACATGCCCAGGTGGAAGAGCTAAGTCCTGAGATGGAAGAGATAAATGATGACATAGATGCCAAGTGGGAAGAGATAGATGCCAAGAGGAAAGTGATAGAGACCAAGTGGGAAGAGGTAGGTGCCATGCACAAAGAGATCATTGCCAAGCTTGAAGCCCGTAAAAGCAGAGGAAAAGAATACAAGGATAGGTAACCTGATATTTGATTGAACCTTATTCAAGATGTTTCATTTTTAAATCAAATATTTACAGTATTATAATGTCTTTGCAGAGAGAGAAGGAAAAGGCGAACCTGGATGAGTTTACTGATGGAGTCCTAGGGAAAGGGGAGCTGCTAGACATCGACATAGTAATAAGAACAATAAAGTAATTTGCCTGCATTATGGTAACTTAAGGTTTATTATTATGTCGTGTTAATTCAACTTATTAGTTTATTGCTCTGGAGCGTTATTCTTCAAAAGTATATATTAGTGTTAGATTTACTTACATGATCTCTTATTTTGAAAAATCTGGTTGCTTAACAATTCTTCTGGGGTGAAATCTGGTACTTAGGTTGCGCAACCTAAGGTGCAAAAAATCTCTGCTTTTACACTTTACTTGTTCAATACTTCCTTAATTTGATTCTTTTTAGATAATCATATGATATAAAATTGTGAAACTGTCATTCTACTTCATAGATTGACTTGATTCAAGGGAATTGGACTCAAGGGTAATATTAACTTCTTATTCACTTTCCTTAACCCATCACAGTTCACTATGCTTCTGTAGTCCGTCCACTTGTAATGTGGATCTTTTAGGACTCTCGACATAGTTTGCAGGGTTTGAGTATGAATCCTGAAATTCCAAATGAATGGTTAGTTTAAATTTTGAAGAAAGAGGATATGGATCTGTTGACGTCTAAATTGTGTGCATTGAGTGAGTCGTTAGCAAAGAGCACTTTACCTTATTTGCTTACACCATGCTCAAAGCTTACTGTTCAGGGGTTATGAGAATTTATGAATGAAGTTGAGTTGGAGTTTATTTCACTAAGGGGCCTCTCTTCATGACTTCATTGAGCTTTTCGGTTTGTTTATTTAAATAACTTTATAGTTGATAATTCCAAATTGACTTATTAGTATACTTAAAATTTTGGCCTCTGTCGATTACTTAAAATTGATATCTTGAATATCTTTGCTTGCACTGTAGTAACTTAAGAAGTATTATTATTTCTTGTTGATTCAAATTATTATAATATTGCTTTTTCTTCTAAATTATTTTTTATCATGTTTTATTTAGAGCTTGTTTGGGAATTATTTTTTCCTCCAAAAAATTGATTTTGTGACCGTTATTTCACTATTTCAACCATCATATTTGACTTATTCTCTCACAGGTAAACCCCACTTTTCTCCTAGCGGTCAAAAAATCAATTCTTAAAATCACTTCCAAACATGCTCTTAATGTTAGAGTTTTGATAATCTCTTATTATGGAAAATCTGGTTGCTTTACATATGCTGTAGATTCTATTAACTTTATTTAAGATTTCGAAAAAAACTCTTTGGTTTTACTTGTTCAATTCTTAATTTGATTCTTTTCAAAAAATCATAATATGATATAAAATTATGAAACGGTGGTTTGACTTCATAAATTGAATTGAAAGAAGTTGGATTGAGGGTGCCTTGGAAAATGTTCAAATTGTGATACTGTGTTAGGGCATATTAATATATAACCATCACAGTTTATTGTTTGTGTTCTTCTTTCGTTCCCTTTTTCTTGTGTTGTAAAAGAATGATGATTAATCTAAAATTTGTTCAATATTGTCATGTTCATTGAGATATCAATTTCAATATATCCTTTTGATGTTGTCTTGTAAAAGAAGACTCGTTGTAATGTGATCGATCCAAGAATGTTATTGAGTTAGGGTGATTGTTGACCGTCGATCTTGAACGACCGCAACAACAAGTATATATCTGTGTGTGTGTGTGTGTGTGTGTGTGTGTGTGGTTAAAAAGTAAGGAAAAACTTTGAAGTGATGTAAAAAATATTTTATCGTGTGAATGTATGGTTAAAAATATGTATAAGAGATAACGAGTTTTAAAATAAAAGAAGAGTCAAACATTTTTGTTTGTGACATTTCTTAAAACTCATTTTTTTTAAATTTAATTTTGACACATTTTATGGGATTTGTAATTTTTATCAACACCATTTTATATTAAAATTTGCTAAAAATTTAATTTATCTCCACACGATATAAATGTTACTTCATCAAAGGGCTTCTATAAATCTTCAATAACAATTAATCAAGCTTTTAAAATAAGATGCATGTCGTATAAGGCACTCGAGTTGAATAAGTACTGAGTGCGGAATTACGTATTCCGTGGTTATGATGAGTCAATAATATATATAAAGAAACAATAATATATTCAAAACAATTTTAGCAGTTTCTGATTGTAGGAGGGGAAAATGTTAATCTTTTTGTTTTCAGAATATACTAGTTTTTGCATATAATATGATTTTGGGTATTTACCTACTACTGTAATCTATCCTTTTAATGCCTAATGTATAATTTGATTTTAGGCAATACAAGTTATTTTGTGTTGTTTTCAAACGTAGTACAAATCATAAATGAGGTTAAAAGGGAGTGGAGAAATTCAAGAAATAATGAACTTTGTTATAGGTACAGAATTTTTTAAATAGAAAAATTCAAGAAACAATACTTGAAGTTGGAGAAGAGCACTGGCGTCCTCTATGGTTTTCATCAGTTTGCTATTAAAATATCCGTGTTGGATGTTGTCAATGTGTAAGCTTTTTTAGGAAAATGAAATACTGTTATTGAAACACTTATTGCCATATTTTATACTATTCAAACAACGACACCCATAATTGGTTCAGCTACAGGGAAGACGGAGTTAAAGCAATCAATAGAACGAGTAACAACTTTCTGCAAATGTTTACAACCAACACGAGATTTCCCACATATTTTTCAGACCCATCTCAACACCAAGTCCATACAAAATGCAAAAATAATTTCAGTGGAACCATCGAAAAAGATCTTTTTAAACTTCTTGAATGTGTAAGCAAGCAAACCGTCTAAACTTGCCTGGTGAAAAATGACAATCCTCTCAAGTTCTAGGAGCCCTGCCAATTTATTCAGACCACAATGAAGGTTGTTGCACAATTTCATCAAATGCTTGATGTAGGTAATTTACCATTAATATAGTTCAAATCACGGTCGTGATCTAACGAACAATTGATTACTATATCCAGCCGTTCGGATTTGGGGATCCTTACACTCTTTTCGCTAATTGAATCGATTATGGGTTACGGTGTGTGAGGTGAAATTGGAGGATTTCATAATCCTCTTTTCTCCTTTTAAGAAAATGGTTTTAGAGGTGTGTTTGCAGATGTGTCGATGAGTTGGCGAGATAGTTATTATTAGGTGGGATTTTAACTGGCTTATTTTTCCGTCATTCATATAGTCATGTCTAGTAACTGATTCCATCGGGTCAGTGATTAAGTTGGACGGAGCAAGGTTCGGTGGTTAATGGGACAATTGATGAAGTTCGACAAGTAGGCTATAATATAGTGCAAAGTTTAGCAGCCAATAAAACATTTAATTTGACTTATTAGTATACTTAATATTTTGGCCTCTATCGATTACCCAAAGTTGCCATCTAAGATGGCCTATCAAATTGCCGTTCTTTGCTACAAAATTGAATTGATGACTATGGTTCCTAACTTGCTTAGTCTATGTTTGGCCCTTATTTTTTCAAAAACTCATTTTTCCGAAACTCATTCTCAATTCAATCCACCAACAGCAAGTCAGCAACTATAATTTCCACTTACAACCCAACTCAATTTTAACTCAATAACCATTGCTCAACTCAATTTCAACTACAATTTCAACTCAGCAACTACATATCCCCAATTCAACTCATTGCCCAACTTTAGTGCTCCACCAATAGCATCCATTTGGCCCATTTCCTACTATTTACACAAACAATTCTCTCAGCTCAGGCATTCGAAAAACTAGGAAAAAGACACAAGTATGTTTACTCATATTCATTGTATTTCTCGTTTAGTTTTATTTGTGCAGAATTGTAATCATAATCAAGTTTACGATGCTTCATTTAATAATATGCAGCATGTTAAAAGGATATTTTCAAAAGCTTTCTTCTAATATGCATAAAATTGGTACAGACTGCCGCTCAAATAGAGACTTGGATACATCGAGAGTTGATCAGCAGTGCTAGATCTCACGGATGCCGGATAGAGATGAAATGAAAGGGAGTTATGACAGGGAAATTGGAGTCAGAATTGGGTAACGCAAGTTTGAATTGGGTTCTATTTGTGACTGATTGGGCTCTCAATAATTTGGACGGTTTGTGGGCTTCTATTATTAAAAATAAAAATAAAACAAAAAAAAATCAAATTTTAGAAAATTGTTGGGTCACGTGCCCCCACCATACCCACTGTCCGTCTGCCCCTGTGCAATGCATGGAAATGTGTATGTTTTAAGGTAGTGTGTTTTGTGTTAAAAATTGACAAGTTATGTGCGTTGAATAAGATTGTGGGGGGAGTAAAGAGGCTATTTCGCTACTCTGTAAGGAAGTTAGAGAAAAGAACAAAATATTTCCAAATAATTAACTTGCTGTTATTTAAGTTCTCGAGTATTCTCACACAATTTTCAATAAAAGATGTTTGCTATACAAAATGAATAATTCTAAATGTACATAATTTGGTTTACCTACTCTCACAAGTACATGGACCCCGCGTGAATAAAATAATCCCAACATGTGGTCCCACACCCCTATTGTGAGTAGGGATGTGGGCCGAGCCAGCTCGGCTCGTCAAAGCTCGGCTCATGGGGTGCTCGGGCTTGTCAAAGACGAGCTCGAGCTCGAGCTCGAGCCGAGCGGGGGGTCGATTCCAACGAGCCGAGCCCGCTCGGCTCGTCGAGCTCGACGAGCGGCTTGTGGGCCGAGCCCACGAGTCGGCTCGTCCAAAAAAGTGGAAAAAATTAAATTTTTATCAATAAAAATTGAAAAATTTGCAAAAAAAAAAAAAAATCACGAGCTCGCGAGCCGCTCGTTTGCTCCTCGGCCCGAATCACGAGCTCGCGAGCCGCTCGTTTGCTCGACTCGGCCCGACCCACTAGCTCGCCCACAAGCAACGAGCCGAGCCCGAGCTCGGCTCGCCGGCGAGCCCAAGTCGAGCTCGTAGGTTAACGAGTCGAGCCGATTCGGTTCGGCCCACTGCCACCCCTAATTGTGAGTGTATGTAAAGCGTTATGTAAAAAAAGTTCAGTACATCTAGCATGATCCAAAAGTAGGATGACTTGAAGTCCTCTCGTTTTGGTATAACCAATTATATTTATATCAATATGTTCAATAATTAATAATGTAGACTAACATGGAGCAAAGTGATAGTTCAAGGACCATATTGCAATTATCCAAAATATGGTCCGAAAGACAAATCAAGGAAGTGAATGAGCTAAGTACCAATTTGGTGACATTATGAGATGATGGAAATAAAAGAAACAAGCGAAAACAGACTAAAGTTGAAGAAACTGAAAGTTCAAGGACCAAGTTGCAAATAATTCATAGATGAGACGG